ATTTTCTTCTTCATGATGAATTGATTACCATTTCCGCCTTTACACTTGGAAATCGGAAAAAAAAAAAGTGAAAAAATATTACTACTCCAGTCCTAAATGTAAGACCCTTATACTAGTGTGTATAAGGGTCTTACATTTAGGACCGGAAGAGTACGTCTTTAAATTTAACTTTTCTATATCTGACGTCTGATAGATATCAGCAGAATATTGAGGAATAGAATAGACAGAATAATAAAAATAATAATATATAAATATTAACGTTAGATAATGTCATTTTCATCCCGAACCCGCACGCATTCATTGAATAAGAGCTCTGTTTCCCTTCTAGAACTGAAAGAAAGAAAGAAAAGAAGGATGAAGTTATAAGGTTAACGGGCGGCCGATAACTTTATGGAACATTTTAGGGACGTTGAAGTTGAGATAAGGCCTAAACTTTTCCTTGGTTTGCTTCCCATGAACTTTTAGTAAGATTCTTAAATCACTTGCTAAGACAAGATTAACCACAAGAACTCTATACACACACACACACACACAAACTTAATACAAGACCTAGTTGCCTCATTTAATCTGAAGAGATTAAAAAAACTAAATAAATTAATTATTTAAAATATTTATATTTATTGTTTTTATTCAAACTAATTTGCCTAATTTATGAACTGATATATAATTCAATGATACACATAAGTATTTTAGAGATATCATGTAATATATGCTATAATTAATAATCTATTTAACTTCCTTAATCTCCCCAAATTATTCTACTGAATCTTATATTGAGGACATGAGGTGATATTAGAAAAAACAATACAACTTGTATAGCACACAAATTTATTACTCCCCAAAATTCATGAACTCTAACAAGTTAGCTTTCATTACTCTGTCAAGAGAATAACAACGGTAATAACAAGAAGCCTTATCTTTTTGAATTAATTGGGTCGGCTACAAGGATTAATTGCATGATGTCATTATACTCTATCAATGACTAAATCTTTATCCAAGTTGTTAACTAAAAATTCTCATTTAATGATTTTATTGAGCGTTCTCTTTCTTCAGTGAGAAGAAAAACATACTACATACATATGTACGTACGTACACATACACACGAGTATTTCATCTTTTCTTAATCTGAAATGTATAAGAACTTAACTATGTGGGAAACCATTCAACATTAATCAGTGGGTTTTTTTTTTCGCTGTCGGTAAAAGGTTGATTCCATGTTTGGCCAAAAAAAAAAAGGTTGATTCCTTGGAGATAGGTAGACAGATAATAGTGATTATCTCAATCGGAATATTTTCCGTGTCATATTGAGTCACTTATAACCAATGGGCAGTTCACCCATTCTGCTGCGCCAGAGATTAATGAAAAAGCAATGGAAAAGGAATAGCTTCAGTTGAAGAAGCTGGGCATACATGGAAGTTCATTGATTCTACCCGTTTCATTGATCTTCTGGAATATATATATATATATATATATCGATCTCAGCATGTGTCATTATATTCGTCAACATCGATCGTCTGAATTGTGTGGCCATTAGGGTTTGATGGGATAGGATCCACAGGTCACATGAGGAGGAGAAGATATGCCAAATTTAGGATAATCCCTTTTCTGTGGGGATGGAATCTGTGCGTTTTTAATGTGAAATCTGCAGAACAAAGTCAAAACGATTTCAAATTCCTGATTTCTTTAAACCCAGCACCTTCTTGAATCTTCAATTATTTTCCTTGGACGACGTGCGCTTTGCATATATATGTAGTTAAGACTTGTTATATAGTGTGATGACGACTTCAAATACATGCAGCTCCCACGGTTCAAATTTAAAATTTAAAACTTAATGTGTCGGTTTTAATTTGATAAAGTGCCCTTTTCAGTTCTCCAACCTAGTAACCCTAAAAAAATACGCTAATTTTAAATTTTTAAATATTGACAAAATGTTCTCAAGTTAATTAATACCGACATATTAAGTTTCATTTACAAAAATCATAAGGTTTGGCACAAAAATTGTCATCTAAAAATAGTGATTTTAGATGAGTAAATTTTAGTTTATTTATATAAATTAGTTAAAGCACTGAAAGTGCTTTTTTTTTTTTTTTGGCTATTTAATGTTCCCAGTTCGAATCCTCCCCATGTTCAAAAAATTGTTCGTGATGCCACTGAATTAAACCTACCTTGTGTTCCGTCCAAATGCATGGCTGGATCGCGTTGCTATGTAAAGAGGCGGTGATAAGATAAAAGTGCTCCTATCCATTAAAGTCCGTTACTTTTAGTATGGTGGGACCTACACGATGTTTTGCTTAAACTTAAACCGTTGTATGCGTAAAACTTTTATAGTATTAGATCCATAAAAAGAGAAATACTTGATGCTTTTTTTTTTTTTGGGCCTCTTTTTACGTATATATGAATGTTTCTTTCTTTTCATTTTCCTAATATAAAATATGGTTAATATATATTTTTATTTCCTAAAATTGGGGCCTCTTTTTATTTTAGTCTCTCAAATGTCAAACCCTTGATTTTAGTCTTTGAAATTTAATTTATTTCAAAACATTAGTTTTTGGAGGTATAATGGTGTTAAAATCTGATGAAGTGATAAACAGCGTTAGAATGGTGATGTTGACTCGCCAAATGACATTGAGCTGGATCTTTTGTGGATAATAAAAGAGGGGAAGAATAGGTTCTCAAAATGTAAATGTTTAGCCCTTTTTTCCCTCTATGTTCATTGGAGGGGTTGTCAACTGTGTTGTGTTTAAAGTCTCATTCCCTTTACATAAGATCCAACTAGGTGTCATCTGATGAGTCCATATCATTATTTTAATGTCGTTTACAACGTTTCAACAGATTTTAACACCGATACACCTCTAAAGACTTATGCTTTAAGATAGATTAAATCTGAGATAATAAAATCAAGAGTTTAAAATTTGAGGAACCAATATCAAAATACGCTTAAATTTCATAAGTACAAAAAATTATATTAACCATATGAAATATATAGGAATTTTTACTGTAATAACGTTTACATTATTGAGAGGGGTTCGAGAGTGATGGTGGTGGTAAGTTGATTCCATATTCCATACAGAGATCCAATGATCACAGGCGTTGATTCAAAAAGATAAAATTCTCGAGCCCTTAGGGGGAAATAAATTAAAAGAAGGAATTTCCTCCTTAAAGAAGATAGATGAGAATATTTGTTCTTTATATTCATCACTCAACCTGAGCGGTACATAAAAAAGAATACAGTAATAAAGAAATTGAGAATAAGTACGTGTGCATTAAATTACTGCATGTGGAGACTATGTTTTATTCTTCTCTTTTTTGAGGTTATTGAGGCCAAAGAACATATTCCTTCCGATTACCTTGATCTACTTTGCTTCATAAAGGAGGAGAAGCGAAAGCCTTATTTATTACTACTTCCAGTGTTTAATATAAACACTAGTTGGAGATTCAATTTAATTCTAAATATAAGACCTCAATTCACCCTCTCTCTCATATTTATCTATTAATTGCAAGAATTGTTACAGTTCACATGATTAACAAGAATGTTTTAGAAAAAAACAACATCTACTTATTACAAATTAACTAACTAACATAACTAATTTTTTTAATATTTATAAACCAGTTATCTAGTTCTTATATGAAGCACCAAAGATAGTATCTGATTATGAAACAAATTAAAATCTTTTACAATTCACGTCAACCTGAGTAATTGGTTTAGCATTAAGGGCGACAAACATAATCTTAAAGCATTCTGTAAGGAGTTACGTTACCGAGTATGGTGTATTTGTTAACAAGGAATGCGTGGATCCCATATGTCGTGCTATGTGTAAATGAATTAGGGGTAAAAGTACGTAACTCGTAAAGTTTTAGTATAATAGTGCAATTTTACCCATTAATCTTAAAAAAGGTGTAAAAAAATCCAGCTTAAAGGCGCACATTGGCAAACCGCGTTGGCCGTGAACGTAAAAATTATTGGAATTTTATTCATGTAAAAATGTACGTACCTTTAATCCTTAATATGAGACTCTGTTAACTAATTTAAAGAAATTAACGAAATAAAAAATTACTTAATTATAGTATATGTTATATGATCTTTCTAAAGTACATATAACGTGATCTCTCTGAAAAATAGAAGATAGAATTGGGAGTTTGAACTAACCTGGAAAATAGGCAGAAGAGAAAATAGGAAGTGAAGGTAGCTTCTAGATAGCCTGGGTTCCAAATCAAAATTTGTTTATGTGACTATGATGTATGACAAATAAAATGTTTCACCAAAGATTTTTGTTAGCTAATACAAATTTGACCACATGTATTTTCGCGGGTCAAATAAAATTTCAATATTTATAATATTTGTGGACAAATCTATCTCTCTATTTTTTTTTTTGGCCACCACATGCTTCTATCACTTTATAGAGGATTTTTGCATTGGTTTTTAGAGTTAATGGACAAATTAAAACTGTATCATACTTAAGTTTAGGATGCCAATAGCTGTTCCTAGAATACTTTGTGAGTATTTTTACATTTTAACCATCGGTTTATTATCATTTTTCATTTTGACCCAATAGTATAGGGTATATATACATGTCATTGGAGATTCATTATTGTCTCTGTTCAATAATTGTATGTATGTTAAAGAAGATCCGGATCAATATGGCACAACTAGTAGTATTAAAATCTAGCTGATTTAATTTATTAAAACTTTTGGTTTAGTAATTTAACGTTGAAAATATATTTATACGTATTTTTTGTGACACAACTTTACATTATAATTCTAAACTTTGTATCAAGAAAAAGAACCTTCATCTCTTGAAAAGTGGTCACCACTTAGGGATTCCTTTGTTGTCAAGTTGTTTTAAAATATATATTCTCTCTCTCTCTCTTCTTTTTTAGGTGCAGGACAATAACTTTATTCTTCGCGTTTTGATGAAACACGTTATTCTCTTTCTCATCATCTCAACACTACTATAAAACCCTAACTCCCTTCATAAACTTCCATCAAACTTCATTCATCAACCAAAGAAAAGCACAGAAGAGGAAAAAAGAGAGCTTTGAATTTACAAGAAACAAAGAAAGGGGAAGAAGAAGAAGAGGAGGAGAAGAAGGAGGAAGGAGCTAGTTTACACATATATTGCTCGTTTCAAAAATGAAGAAGCCTCATCACCTCGCAGAACCTAATTGTTTTGAAGAAAAGGCAAGTATATATCTATACACAGACACACATAGACTGGGTTTTTTTCTCGTTGTATGCGGGCATCTGACAAGGTTAGATTTGACCATTGTCGGGTCTAATTGAGGGTAGCACATACACTGGTTTTTGCTTGTATAAATATAATTTTCTTTTAAAAATATTATTCTAAGAGTAAGTTACACAAGTCCTCCTTCCCACACTTTTTATTGAAATGACCCAGTCTTTCCTTTTATTTCAAGAAAGGAATAGAAAAATATTGTATAATTCAACCAATTAAATTAATGAAAGATTTGTGGGTCTTATTCTTTAGTTAGGACAGTTTATGTTTTCTTAAAAATGGAAAAAAATTATGCCTATATAATTTTAGATAAACTTGAGAAAGGTTAGTATTATTTTATAGGGTTAATACAAATTTTGGTCCCTCAAGTTTCTTTTATATAATTCAATTAAAAACATGGATCATTTTACTCCTTAAGGGACCAAATCAAAATAAAGACAAATTTAAAAGACTAAAGATTATATTAATCCTATTATATATATTACTCAGAAATTTTGAGATTATAATTATTTTATGCATGCGCTGATCAATATATTGAAAAATTAATGCAGGCTGAGGATAATTTTGAGATTTTTCCCAGAGGACTCAACATTGTTTGGGGGGACGACCCTCGTTATTGGAGCCTTGAGTGAGTATCAAATATTATTTATTTAATTTTTATATTGAATTTTATCACAAATAAATAAATCTTTAATTCCTTTGATTGCCATATAGAAAAGAATAAGTTTGATGATTAACTGCTTTCGAATTATTAGATCTATATACGTGGGTGTATTATTAGAGCATATATAATATCTGGCGCATATAAGGGTGGCTGAGGTAAATAAATCGTATATAATATACTCACATGAATAATAAAATGGTCAATAAACTGATGGTTCGGCTTTAAGCAAAAGTATATGATATTGCATTTTTTGTGTGTATATGATATTGTATAAATATTAATAATATCCTCGTCAAATAAATATTCTTGTTAGTGTATCAATAATATAATCTAATACCCTGAATCATTATATCTTATTTTAGTTCTGGTAAAAGTACATTTTTGTTCTTTTAGTTTCCAAGCTAACAAATTCACATACCTATCAATTTCAATGTATGAAATACACATTAATCTTACGAGAGGCTAAACAATGTTTATATATATGTTAAAGACCTGCTTCCTTCTCTCTCTCCCTCTCACGCACACATACATACAACCTCCAACCCTTAATATAAGAATTACATAACTAACTTGTCGATATTAAGAAAAATTAGTTAAGTCAGTTATTTATAACAAATGATATTGCTACTTTTCATAAAATACCTTCTTTTTTTTTTTTTAATCAGGTGCCTTGTAACTACCTCTTTATAGAAACCCCTTTAATTACTATGTGCAACTTTGGGGGGAAATATAAATTTGGAAATAAAAGTAGGTTGTAGTTTTATATTTAAAACCGAAATAAATCCTATTTGCCTGTCATATTTAGGAGGTAATTAATACATACGCACATGTTTGTGTGTGTAATCAATGGGAATAATTTAAAAATTGAGATTTTATATTTAGAAAAATACTTAAGTCAGTATGATCATCATCTCAAGTTCTTTAATCACATAGGGTACTTAGATATGTGTAATTGAAAAACTCGATCGTTATAATGAATGTATATAACTTGATGTAAATATTATCGTTATATTTAATACCAAAATAAATCCCTTAATCTAGATGTTATATTTCGAAGAACCGGAGGCAATATACATACATATATATATATATATATATATATATATATATATGATGCTTTAAGGGTTGTTTAATGAATTTGCAGTAAGACTTCTACGAACGGGGCTGCGACGCTGATCCAAGTATCATGGCTAGACGTATCAGGTATGGTGGAAGTTAAGCAGGGAAAGAAATACAGAGTGACGTTTGAAGTGATGATGAAGCCGGACGCGTTCGGGTGGACGGGAAGTCCGGTGCTGGTCATGGCCAAGGTGGGGAAGAAGGGCAAGTATACCTACTCCGAGATCCTTCTGAGTAGCCATTCCGGTGAGGCCATCACCATCCCGGACGGTGGGGTCGAAGTCGACCTGACGCAAGGGTCGGAGAAGAAGATTTACTTTGGGCTCTATGAAGTTTGGAGTGGCAAATGGAAGGGAGGGCTTATGATCAAGAAGGCCAAGGTCGAACCCGTAACTTAAAGCGACACACATATACACACCTTCTCTTCTTTGTTTGCTGATCTTTAATTATATTAGTCAATAAGATCTTCGTCGTCGTCGTCGTCGATCATGAGAAATTAATGCCAGTGTCTGTTTTATTTGTGTAATAATGAATAACGTGTTTGCAATTATATATGCTCTACGCGTATGTATTTGGAACGCATTCTATATGCGTATTTGTACTTTTGTGTGCTGTTTTTCTCTCTCTAGTCTCTCTTTCTTCCTCTCTCTCTCTCTCTCACACACACGCGAAACAGAAGAATTTAGTTAGTCCCATCAAAACTGGCGTTCGCATTCCGTGCTCATCAGCCTGATGAGCACGGAGTGCTCAGCACTCAAAACGCTGTGCGTTTTGAGTGCTGAGCATTTTTTTTTTCACTTTATTTTTTTGTTACAAAAAAATTTATACCATCTCAAATTATTAATATAAAAATTATCTTGATATTTAATTTAGTTTTAAATATAATATTCTAATCTACTTTATCTCTTATATATATATATATTTTCAATATAGTCCTTATAATAATTGTACGTGTTAAAGATTTAATCAATTGTTGATTTTAGTTAATACACATAATTAGTGAGAGGCATTTTAGAGAAAACAACACTTATTTATTACAACTGACTAATTTAGCTAATTTTTGTAGTATACTTGAATTAGTTAAACTAACTCTTATATTAAGAATCAGAAGAAGTATAAATTAAAATTATTTTTGGTTAACATTTATCTAGTACTCAAAAATATTTTTTTAGATGTTTTCAATATCTTAAAGTATTTTATGATTTATTTATTACCTTAAAATATTTGTTCACGTGCATTTAATGTTTTAAAATTTTTTCTATTTCTTGATATTGTATCATAAAATATTTTAGAATACTAAAAAATATTTCAGGATACTAAATAAATCATAAAAGACTTTAGAATACTAGATCCTAAAATATGTTTTTAGGTAAACCCAGTCACAAAGTATTTTAAAATAATGAACATATATAAAAAATATTTTAGGTACCAAATAGATCACAAAATACTTTAAAATACTAGATTCTTAAATATTTTTTCAAATGCATTGTCAGAAAATATTTTAGAACACTAAATACATATAAGAAAATATTTCAGGATATGATAAAATATTTTAAAATATTAAATATGTGTAAAAAAATATTTAAGAGTATTAGATAAACTTTAACTAAAAATAATTCTAATACATATATTTTTTTGTAATAAAAAAAAAAGGTCCCTCATGCTCAGCACTCAAAACGTGGACGTTTTGAGCGATGAGCACGGAATGCGGATCCTCAAAAGCGCCATATTTATTAACCATGTTTTCATTAATTGTCTCAAAAGTTGTAAAAGCGCGACTAATTAAGAATTGAGTTTAGAATAAGTTTGACTATATTAAGTAATCCACGACCTTAATTGAATGTCAGCGAAGCGTGCTTGGAAAATTGTCGCACAAACCATGAAGATGTTGAGGTCTATGAAAACGTCGATCGAACTGGACCAGGCCGAAAACCACCGAACTTGGCGCTTGACCAGTGTTTAGCCCTCGTGAACTGGGAAATGTTGAGCCAAGGTGACTCAAAGTAACCCAGAAACAACCCGGTTAACCTGACCGGCATAGCAGGTTAACTTACTTTTTTTTTTAGCCCCCCAAAAAACAAAAACTGTTTTGATGCAAAAAGAAGTCATCTTCTTTTGTTTTTTTTTTTCAAGTTGTCAATAGTCATTAGTTTAGTGATTAAAGAATTGCAAGTAAGAATATCTTGTTATCATATTTTGCTAGATTAAATATCTAGTGATTTTAATAGTATGGTATCGTGATGTCAATTTGTCAAAAGAATTATAAAGAACATCAGAAATAAATTGTAAGTATGATTATTTTGCTAATAATTCATGATACTGAATTGATATTTAGTCTTTGAATGGTGTGATAAGAAATTAACTTATTGTTTTTTATTCTTCACCTATTTGACTCTTAAGCTAACTCTAATCTAACCTTTTTCTTTTTTTTTGGATATAACTTAGATGATTTCTTAAGTTACTTTAAACTTGAAACTAATCTCTGTCATGTAAAAAACATTAAAATTAAAACCCTCCTAACAAGTGCGCCTTTTGGGATTTAAACTTGTATTTTCCTCTTTACGACCGCTTATCATATTTATCATTTTTTCGAAAAGTAACGTCTATAAAATGATATACTTCTAAAAAGATCATGTTACACTTGTTAAAATTAAATAATTTATTTAGTTTTTCTAATCTATCCAAATTAATCAAGTAATCCTTATATTAAAAACCGGAAGAATCATTTCTCAAATGCATTACCCAGAAAAACAGAGACAGCTTATTTCTTGAAGAAGAAACCGTGCATATACTTGGTATTAGGTAGCTACATTCTTTTATGCCTTTTCCCATTCAAGCCGATTTATCCATTTCTGCTTAATTACTAAAATTGTGCATGACAGCTTTTGGCAGCTCACTTTTTTCAAACTCACCCACCGTTACTTGGGAACACCATGTCATGCTTATACAATATCAGAAATCTAGGTTCATAAAAGCAAAGACCTTTCCTTTAGAAATTTGTAGATGGCACATCATCTTACTATGCCAGACCTTATATACCAGACATTGAGTGTTTTTGTCAGAACGATGGCATATTTCTCATGTATGATATAACCCTTAGATACATATATACCATTACAACCCCTTCAAACATGATGTCATCGACGAATATAATAAGCTGTACAGGATAATTACCATTCACTTCCACTGCAACACTTTAAAAGAAGCTGATTTTTATCAGGCATCGACTGAGACGGTTAACTCGTTCAGTTGAACACACTGCCGCCCGCCGTTGTTGCCAGAGTGAACAAGGATACCGGGATGAGCGTCAGAACAGGACTGATTGGCTCCTTCGTGCGAAACAGATATGGCACTCAGAGAAATTTTATCAGCAGAATGGCTGCATTCATCTTGGTCGTGAGAAATTATTTCCCATTCCCCTTTAAGGGATGAGACATCTAGATCATTCTCTTTGCGCTGCTCCATTTCAAACGCAGTTGGCAGAATCACATAATCGTTCAGTGGGTTGTAGTAGGGATCGGGATCTCCAGCCTTCAGCCAATGTTTGAGAATCCGAAATACGTGACGCTCACAAAGAATACCCCTGTGTTCGCCTGGAACTCCAACCCTTGCCTCTGCTTTGAGCCCATCAGCCTGCAAATGAAACAAGGATGAAGCCATGTTGTGGGACAAAATCAAACTAAAGGTCACGCATAGGCAGCAACGGCAATGGGGAACCATGAAACGGTGGTAGTCATCGCGACGGCTGGCTTCTACAGAAATAGGATGCAACAATGATTATGATGGTCTCTGATGTGTGAGATGGCAGCCGCAGAACGGCAATGACAATTAGAGTCTGGGTGATAATCTAGACGGGGGCACAGTAGTAATCATAGTGAAGAAACTAGGCATTAATAGCTGCGAAGTACATCTTCAGCTTAGCAGATATGCTGCTTACGGCAACCATGGATCCCTATATTGCTGTAGACAAGATGATATTCATCCAATCCTTCATGTAGGACCTGATCAGGGAATTGATGTTGGTCCTATATACAAGACCTATTTTATATGTTTATCAATTTTTTTCCAAATTAACCCTATTTATATTCCCCCAGCAATAATCACTAGGAAAGGGAGGAAAAGAATTAAGAAATATGCTTAAGATGTTATAGAAAAAACATATCAAATTATCTAATTTAACTAGCATCCTTAATCTACTCAAATTAATTAGGTCTTACATTAAGGATTAGAGGAGTATCATACAAGAAGTATTGAAATAATAGGTCTAATCAACTTATATCAAGGAACATCTAATCCGTCCGTCGAAGATTCTGAAGTAACATCATCAAATTCCAATTTCACAGAAATTAAGAACGTCTAAATTGATTCACTGGGGGGGAACAAGTTTAAGGTGTCAAACCTTAGCTGATTCGGCTGGTACTGTTCCATCACCGTCAACACAAATGTATTTGGCCTGAAAATATTTATTAAAAGAGGTCAGCATTTGCAAATGGAAAAACACAAATGGCCTCAAGGAAAATAGGATACTTGTGAAACAGTCTGGGAGAGAAATTGAATGTATTGCATTTTAATTTAATGTTTTAATCCAATTAAATGTGTTTTCAAAACCATAGATGATAAAACAATGCAGGTGGAAAACTATCCAGAGTTATTTTAACTATTCGCATAGATAAGACAGGTCAATGGACACTGCAAGCACCATATTTATATGTATAACCTGCACCATACAAATATTGGTATATAAGCAAATGACCTGGGAATAACGTAGCTGTTGTAGATCTGAGACAGGCTTCTCTCCACTTCCATAGCTGCGGAATAGTAATTTAAACTTCATGAGTTATTGTACATTTCCAAAGAATTAGAACCTTCTAATAAAATCCATTTTTATTAGGCGTTGGAAGCATTACCAAACAGTATGGGGCGTCTCAAGACCAATCCCATAAATATTGTAGAATTTGACTTCAGAAGGAAGTTTCGCACCAGATAAAATCTCGCGAGTTTTATTTGCCCACTTCATGATCTCCATGTTAAAGGGAAGGGGCAAATCCTCACCATCATAGTTGACCTATATCATGGTTAAACAATATTATAACAACCTAAGATGTCTAAGATGTACTAATAATCATGCAGGACATCGAATGAAGAGAAATACTTGTAACTGTCAAAAGCATTACAGTAACTACACAGCCTTCCTACAAATAAACCTTCGTAATGCCAGTTTCCCTGTTATCCTTTCACAGAAACAAAGACTAAACAGTTTTCTTTAAACACTAATCACAGAGGAATCAGTTTTAAACCCGGGGGGGGGGGGGGGAATCTCATAGGGATGGCTGTGTTTTTCTATTACAAGTTGTTCACAAAATTAATATGATTAGTAAACTGAACAATCATAACATACTCCAGACCCTAAAGTTTAGAAAATAATATATTCAAGTTCATGAAAGATATGGAAAGAACTGAAGTTCAAATGCTGTACAAGATAAAGCAGACAACTCACTTTGTTATTTGCAAGAGATTCCTTTATAATCTCAATACTATCTTCTGGATGATGAGACTCCAGAATAACACGAGGTTTCCCATCAGAATCATGCTTTGATAGAATAGAAATAGAAAAGAGAGATAGAAGAGAGATTCAGAGAAGAGAAGGGTCATCGTGCTTGAAGTAGAGGGTGCCACCTGATTAGTGACCGATACGTGGGGTACCGACTTGAAGGACACGCTCTTACCGGTTTGCTTCGATAAGGCTATTTCTTGAATCCGGGCAAGCCTTCGCGCCTCACGCAGTGTTCTTGGATTAAACATCTGAACTGAAACTTCAATATCCGGTTTGAGAGCTGAGACGTAGGCGTCCACGAGATAATCTTCCGAGAGATCGAGCTTCGCTGTGATTGAATCAAACTCGGCGTTGAAGTCTGCCAGGGAACCCGTTTGACGCAGATGAGTGAACTCGGCCATGGGAGTGTCAAGCAGGGGGCCGAAAGTATCTCGGAGCAAATCGACGTATTCCTCCCATCCCATCGGTCGTCCCCCACGCCGTTTTTCGACCGCCAGATGCCACTTGAAGGTCGTATCGTCCAAGTGCAACGACGCAACCTTCACCTTCGACGCCTCTGGAGTCTCGTCGAATTCGAAGAATCGTTCACAGCGCGCAATCCATGCAAGAACGTCAGTACCGTTGAATCTTGGGAAGTCCATTTTCGTCAGCTGGGTCGGTCGTTGATATCCGTTCCGGTTCCCGCGTCGATCTTGATCAGGGCGTCGCTCGTGGTCACGGTTCTGGGCCACGACAACACCTTCACGGAAATCCCGAACAAGGTTCTGCAATTGAGTATTGAAGCCCAAGACTGTTTCTTGGAGTTCATCGATGGTACCCAGGCGTTTTTCGATCTGATCCAAGCGTTCCTCCATGAGTCTAGTTTGGCCACGGGTAAGTACCATAAACCAAGCGAAATTGCGTGGGTAGTGCCGAGGAAAGAGTGGCTCTGATACCACTGATAGAATAGAAATAGAAAAGAGAGATAGAAGAGAGATTCAGAGAAGAGAAGGGTAGAAATTAGGACGAGAGACAGAGGAGAAATGATCAGGAGAAAGAACAGAGAGGAAAACAGAGAGAAGGCGGTTTAGAACTGAATAGTGCACTGAATAATTCTGGAAATCAAATCTGTACAATGGGTACCCGGGTAATGTCTATTTATAATCATAAACTAATCCTACTTAAATAACGGTTAGTGACCGTTACTCCTACTCCTACTATTATTTAAAAGTAATTACAATAATACATCATGCTTCCTATCAGAATCATGCTTCTCACGCCACAGTTCTAGAGCTGGGGTGTTCTCCCAGTGAAAATCAGGGCAACCCATAAGTTCATATAGAGATGGACATTCAACCAGCTGTAACATTGTAAGAAGCTAATCAATAATCAATAATATCAAAAATTTCACAGCATCAGAATAAAAGAAAAACAAACGAAAACGAAACATAAGTGAATCAATCACAGAAACAAGGCCAGGTGTATGCCATTGCTTCACTTATTTCATGCAAAGATGAGTTGAAATAACCCAAATAAAACAAAGAACACACCATCCAGCTATCTAGACCCACTAAATCCCGAACACAATCATGCAGTTGATTATTCGTAAGTTGTCATAGTAACTGATTATTGACTAACGAGTTATGGACAATATTTATAAGCCAAAACCCCTCTTTTTGATATCTTTGTTAGTTTCAACAATTCATATATATATTTGTTTTCAATATCAAAATACATCTCAAGACTGACTCCAAACCCTTTGAGTTGTATATGTCATTTCAAAAAGATCTTATACCATTGTTGCCTATTTCTCACATAGAAACATTGATCGCTTAGCACTTCTACCGTCATACAAACATGATAAAACCCCATATTTTATTTGTATTATTAATTGGTTAAAAAAGTAATAAAAGCTTTATGTTTCCAACAGTTAAATCACATTAGGTAGCTATGCCAACTTAGTTTTTCTTCCAGAAACAACCAATTTGAATCTTGTTTTTCAAACCTCTTTTGTTTAATAACTCAAAACATTTTTTCTTCCCGATAACAATAACAGATCTGTTTAGAGCAATTGTTCTACTTAAAAGTTTTTCAAAAATAGACCTCTACTTTCTGCATTTAAAACATGAGGAAAATGATTTTGGTCATTGATTTCGTAAATAAATTTACAGTCCAAATCAATCAACCATTTTTTTTTACAATATTCTAGATATTACAGATAATTCTTATACTACAAATTATAACTTGAATGAAAGGAAGTCAAGACTCTAACTTTGAAATCTTCAAACTGAGTCTTATGAAAATATTTTCAGAATATAGTTTACAGAAATTTTGCTGAATGTTATTCTAACACTATATTCAAAAACTAATAGACATAAACATTATCAAACGGATCCATTACATGCTATCTATAGTCATGTCTTTTATATCCACTATCTCATTTATGAACATATTGTCAATATAGATACTATGCCTCACTTGTATAGAATGGTCAACTATGGCAGTATTAACGGTTACACAAAAAAGGGCAGAAATGCTTAGTTTCCTGAAGTTTCGCGTCCAAGACAGCATGTGATAAGTAACAATGATGACTATAAGGGAAAGATGATCCATTAAAAAAATTTGTAATTGAAGATGATTGAAGAGTAAACTCAAATATATATTTAAGAAATGCAAATGACTGATTTCTACCAACTGGTGCATGCTCCATTTTGAAATGAAGAAATTCTGCTCCCATCCCTCAACAAATGACATTCCATTTAAAAAGGTAGAATTGACATATCCAGGTGCACCTGTCAGAAAACGTGGTTCACTATTATGCAGCTGCAAATACAGCTAAAAAAAACAAAAAATACACCAAGGCAGGTTATGCAAGCTACGACTTTTCAGGTCAAGGGTAAAACAAAGAGAGAACGAAAAAGCAGAGCATAAATAGGGATATATCCATTTTGGCATCCTCCTCCCAAAGAACTGGTAAGCCAGAACCCACAGGACAGCCTAAAATCAACCCTGACCGAAATGAAGGTATATATTTAATAAAAATAAACTGAGAATACTCAAAGCATTATTTTCCAGCCAGATACCCAAAGCCTGCACAATGATCAAGGAGCATAGTTCTAATATCCTTATGGCCATTTTCATCTCTCAAAACATTGAAAATGGAAGAAAAGAAGAGCTCCACATCTTCAGAGGTTTGAACCGGCTTGATTTACTTAACAATGAAAACTAGAGAAAGAAAATAACATAATTAGTATCGGATGGTCCAAATACATCCCAAAGAGTCAGCCGTGAACCATGCAGCACAAGACCCTTTGTTCTTGCCCTGGTCCTTTCCCCTCTCCAAACCCCTCCCAGAGCCTTATGCCTCCTTTATTTGGACGAAAAAATCCAAAATAAATAAATATCAACAAAAAGAAACATAGACTGTGGTGGTTTTGACATCTTAGTCCAGGGCATCACAGTCCCAGAATAAAATGAAACATGAAGAATGCATTCCCAGGTATGCATTCCATGCACTCCCATCCGCACTCTTTTTTTCTCTATGCAAATGTAAACACTAACTTGGAATGCAAAACACTATAGACAATGAAATGAAAAAATACAAATTTGGAAATAACATACTAACAACAAATAAACATTACTACTACCCACATTAAACGAGCTTTTGGTTTTAGAGCTGCAGCAAAAGCAACCAAATTAATATATGAGTAAGGATCAAGTTGCATTAACTATTCGCCATTGAATAACCTTTTATACTTACTCATCTCTTTTCCCAAGCCATATGCAATATCACGACCATGTTCACTTTTTATTTATAAATCATTTAATAACCTCTGCATGACCTTGTTTATGTGCCCAGCAAAAAATTTAGCCTATCAAAATATTATAATATCCCTTTTGGAACTAACAACAGTCCCTAGCTTGACAAATTATATTGAAAAATGTGTGGTATGATTTCATTCAGTATGTTAAATTAAGGCATGAGCAAATATAAGATTAGTTGCTTACCCTGGAATGGAGCGGCAATTGCAATCCAATTCTTAACATATTTCTCAAAAATCTGCAAAACAAAAAGCACAAACTTGTAAACTTTACCCAACAGCGGATACTTTGCATGATGCACGTCTACAAACCACAGGCTAATACATAAATTGAAAGATTGCAGGAAACTGTAGAGACAAATAGAAAAAAAGCTTAAACAAACTTAAGAGGCCTGATGGATTCTTTACATCACTACGCAGGCACATGAAACATTTCACCAAAAGGCCACCCATAGAATGGCTTATGATATTTATCTTCTTCCCTCCTGCAGCATTGTACACTGATTCTAATTTTGCAGCCAACCGATCTAAAGTTTCTGGCAACCTACATGACAATAAGTGGTACAATTGTTAGAGCACCTAATTTAGTTTACTAATCAGGTAAGTACATATTAAAGTAGTTATCCTTGAATAAATGGCCAATCATACCACCAGGGAAACAACGCCAAACAGACACATATTAAGAATAAGCAGTCTGATTAAATTAAATTTTGACGAGACTATAGTTTAGGGCCCCCACGTGAAGATCTTTCTACTGAAGGACCTTAAATTTTGAAATTATTCTAAAGGACCCTAAGACCAAAATTTAAACTGCACAATCTTACTTTTTAAACTGCAAGTTAAAATTTTATCATTCAAGAGTCCTAAAAAATGATTTTCAAATTAAGGTCGCTCAGTTTAAATATCTTTAGCATGGGGCCTTCAGCGGTAATCTTCCCCCTGATTTTGCATTTACATTTTAGTTTTTGCTATGCTTGGCTCACAAGAATAGTGTTACACAGTAAATAAACAAAAAGGGAGTCAGTTACATTTTAGCTACGGCTGCACATGCCCAGCTGCTTGTTCTGACTTAGTTCAGAGGAAATTTAATTAGGATACTTTGGAGGGCCTCGTTTGGTACAATTTTCTTGGGGGAAAGGGTCTCTTAGGAGTAAGGTATTTGGTACAATTTTCTTGGGGGAAAGGGTCTCTTAGGAGTAAGGTATTGTTATGTAATAAATTAAAGAAGAGGGGGTTAGTTAAGGAGTTACCAGTAGTTAGGATTGGTTACTTAATTAGGGTCCAAGATATCAGGCTATACATAGACAGGTCGAGTTAGGTTGTAATCAGCTTTGGAATAATGAAGATTTCAGTTTTGTTTTTCTACTCCCCCCCCCCAAATCTATCTTCTCTCTCGGTCGTCTATTTCCATTGATTCCCTCTCCCTCTTTCCTACTTCTACGTCAAATGGTTTCCTAGGAAATCTTCTGCTCATTTATCGCCAAAAAAGGTAAATGATGACATTCACGAGAAAAGAGTAAGCAAATGAATTCATCTAGGGAAGAGCAGCTCAAGCTAAAACGATGGGTCACCAACCAGCAATCAGCATCAACCCATGGAGCTTAAAAGTTTTTGGCGGTGACAAGACTAAAACGTGGAGGCTGACTTACTCTAGGAGAAAGAAACGTGCTAGAGAAGAATAAGGGGCTCAAGGGCTGAGTTTGCTGCTATTTTTCTGATGTTTTCTTTATTTTATTTTTACTGTTCCTGCTTTTTTGATTGGTTGCTTCTGTTGGATGAGAAATAAGTGGGAATACCCCGCTTCAACTTCAGAACAGATTAGGTGTTTCATTTGAATTCTTTTGATTATTCCGTTGAACTATTTTCCTGGATTTTCTCTCTGTAAAACTCTATAAATAGGCACTTTGCCTTAGAAATAAAGCATCAAATATTTTCAGAGAGTAATTTCTTGTGTATGGAGATTCTCCTCAGTCTATTTCTAAGTGAGTGAGATTCTTACCTTACATACAAATAGAAGAATTCATTTTTCCTGCTCTTTATTTTTCTGTGATTATTTTATTCGGTCTCTACCAGGCACCCATCTAAAAAGTAAAATTTTTTTCTTTTTCCAGAAAACTTTTCCAAAAGTAAACTTCCAACAGAACAAGCAGAACCTGGAGAAAGATCATTGATCATTATAGCATATAATCCTCTGCCATACTGTAAAAGGTACGCATCAGAAGAAAAAAAGTAAATGTTTCTTTTATGCCTTTCAAGTAAGGTAACCCTCAAGATCCTGGGGACAAAGTAAAGACCAATTTAATCTGCTCTCTACATTTTCCATAAGCCATTACATGCATCAATTGGGTTTGCATTTGAAAAATCATAATCTCTTCTTCATCTATAATCATAAAGGAAAAGAAGCATAAAGCCCATGGATAAGAGAGCAGAGGTGGCAATCAATGCTTACCGTTTCTGTGCCAAACACAGCAGGATAAAAAATCTAATGTACTTGTATGAAAAGTATTGTTGTAGGGTTTATTAATTGAAAACAATCCAAAAATTTATTCAAGAAATGGATTGCTGAGTAACATTCTCGATCATGCCTCAACAAAGGGAAGGTAATTAAAGATATATTGATTAAATTGGACGTGAGTTTTGCAATGATATGGTACCTGTTACTTTGGCGAAAATCATAACCAAAGCCAAAAAGGGTCTTTCCCTCCTGAAACCCCCATTTAATCATTTCAACGATCATGTCATGGAAATAATAAACACACTCACGTCCAATTACCTGCATCATAAAATTTGTATAGGAACCAAGAATCAAGTGTTATTTCATCTGGATTGTAGGGTGCACAACTAGGTAATAGAATTGCATTGATTCACAGGATTTTTAAGCAAATTAATGCTCATAAATACTAAATATACCATAAAATGTAAAATTAGTCAACAAAGTGTACTTATATTCTCATTAAATATATATATTGATTCAAAATAAAAAGGTAATTCCGCTGTATGAAATCACCATAAACCAAACTACTGGCACCTGCTGTACATTCTCAGTTTACATGGGCCAAAGCCTTCAGGTATTCATAGATAGATTGTATGGGAAGGGAAAAGAGAAGTATATGCACATGCTTATTTTTATCAGGTGCGTGTGTGCGTGCGTGCGTGTGTGTGTGTGTGTGTGTGTGTGTGAGAGAGAGAGAGGAATGAATGACTGCAGAGAAGTACAAACTTCATTGAACCATATAATAAAAAACATAAGCAGCTTGGAATACCATTTGTCCTAGTGTCCAAAAAAGCTTCCACTAAACTTCCTCATGGATCAAGAAGGGTAACGTAAAACATAGAACAAAAGGAATAAACGCTTCTTCATTTTGTCCCGAGAACTAAGCATACCATATCAGGGTCCAAAACATCAATTGCATATAGTCCATATCTGTCTTCCGGAACAGTAACACTGGTGTTTGAGTCCATAGAAACAGTTTTACCTGGTTCCAACAGAAATTATTAGTGTTCAGCCTTCTAAATTTTAAGTTCTTGTTGCACCACCTTCACTTCTACCATATAAACAACCAAATGATTATAATCCCCATGTTTTCATTTTGTAATTTACTAGTTTAGTAGTATCATATAAATTAAAAAAGTATTAATCATATTCATTAATATTTTTTACACTAATACAGCCCGTTGAATATTAATGGCTTTCATTAATATAAAAGGAGGGAACGCAAACGAAGTTACATGAACAACTTCTGGAACTATAACATTATAGTTTATGTAAACAAGCATAAGCAAACATGGATGAGGAAAGCTGAGAAGGAGACTAGTCTAATTTTACCTGCACTTCGTTTGCAATAAGATTAAATGAACCTTTTTTGCGAGAAGTTGTTTCTTTGGCAAAAAAAAAAATCAATAAAGCAGTTAAGTGCGAAACGAACTTCACTCAGCAAATGAAGTCACATATAGAGTTCTTATAAAAGCTTAATTGTTTTTCCCCGGGCCAGCTTACAAAAGCTTAATTAAAAGAACAAACGACTCTTCAAATGGATAAGAAACACTTTCAAACTTAATTAACACAATTTAGTTACCGGTAGCAGGATCAAAACGAGACCATAGCTTTGTCCGGAATGTATAATCAGCGGCGAGAATCCGAACCCAAACCCTTTCTTCTTTACCATTCTCATCATCTACAGCCTTAAGAATCGAACCAGCAATACCAGGCACCAACAGAACAGGGTCGAGATTGGGATTCACGTAAGGCTGGGGCTGCTTGATGAGCTTCAACCACAGTTCCACCGATTGCAAGATATCTTCCAACAGCATAGCCATTGCGAGATGAAAAATCTAGCAATCAAACAACGTCAGGATCGCAAAAGTGCGACCGAATTCAGAATTTTCTCGAATGGATGAATAATTTTAAAACCGAATTGCAGAATCAACAGGCAATAGGTGGAACAAAATGGAAGATGATCAAATTAGGGTTTGGATTTGGGGAAGATGTGGCGTGAGATGATGAAGGTGAGTGAGAAGATGCCAGGACTCGTGTCCAAGGCGACAACCTACTACAGTTAAAAAATGGAGACCAGAAATAGTGACGTAAAGATTACGGTCCCCTGACTTTTTCAGTTTAAATACAATATAGTAATAATTAAAATAAATTAAATATTGACTTTTCCTTTATCCAAAAACAAATGTTGACTCATTTTTTGACAAAAACAAAAAAATAAAATAAGCAAAATCAATGTGAGCAACCAAGAAAAGAATTTAATCATAAAAAAAATTTCATAACAAATGGCATCATATAATAACAAATTTTGGTGCCAAAAAAAGAAAACAATTAGTCCGGCTCACTTGCGGGCGAGGCTCTTTGGTAAAAGTCTGTGTGATAATTATATATTTTTCCTAAGACTAATAATAGGAAGCAAATATGAAAGAACTTTAAACAAAGACAAATGAAAAATAGTGTACACTGTGACTTCAATCATCAATCCATATGTGGAGAAAATTGCATCATGGACTACAAATCTAAAAGTATGCAAAATATTTAAGGGAAAATAGAAAAAATTTCTTATAATCATCAGGTCAAATTCTTTAATTACAATTTGCCTGGCGTCTTTTTTTTTTTTAAGATTACAACAGAATATGATTATGATTGAAGAACTTGATATAATGATTATAAAAAAATTGACTTAAATATTATCTAACATTTAATAATATCTGTTGGGATTTTCGATTATTGAAAATGCAGTTTCTACCATCTCATTATCTTGAATATGTTCTTCTTCAAAACAAATAAAACATAAGTGTTTTGTAACTCTTATAGAATGCGCTGCTCACAAAAAAATTTATTTCAAATTATAAATGTTTGTATGCTTGGTTCTATTTGAATTTAGATAAAAAAAAATTCAACCAATCCAATCAATTGAGACAAAAAATATATACTTCTTTTCCATTTAATTCAATTAAGTGATTGTTGTTGGTCTAGGAAAAAAAATTACAAGACAAGTTCCGGGTAAATTGGATCCCAAAACTGTAACATCCAGACTTTTAGGCCTAGAAGTTCCAAAAATAGCCTAAATTAAATAGGTTACCAGACCCCTGTGAGCAGAAGTCCCAAAGATGAGAAAGGAAGTTAAAGCAGTTTTAGGGACTAAATTGCAAAGTAAAAGTTTTCAGGAGCTCGAGTATAATTAAGGTTAGAGGCTCCAGTAAAGTCTCGAAGGCCCAAAAAGAGAAAAAAGGCTAGATACAGGCCAATGAGTAAGTTAGAAACCTCAAAGAGATGGTTCTGAGGTTAGGCTTAAGCAGGGGTAAAACCGTGAATTCAAAAAATTATGACCAGCAAGGGCAAAAATGGAAGAGTGTACAGAAAATTCCAAGAAAATCCCAAAAAATGGGAAATAATATTCTAAGACTTTTCTATAAAGAGAAAAGATGAAAATACCCCCTTAAATGGAATTTATGAGGTTGTGACCGGTAAAAAGTATACCGTTTGAGGTAATTATTTGAAATAGCAAGAGACTTCAAAAGTGTATACAAAAATGAGGTTAAATGGTTGAAAGGTTGTACTAATTTATAAAATTAGTCCCGCAACCAAAAGGCCAGTAGAGTGGCTTTAAGAAATTAAAGAGCCGGTTTTGCCAATAAAAGGGTATTTTAGTAAATGAATTTTATGCAAGGCTTAAAGGAAGTGTTATGGGCTAAGAAAATTCATAGATACTCTCTAAAATTAAAGAGAATTTATGGATCTGACAGAAAATAATTACAGAGGCCAGAGCACTGTAATTAGAGAAAAGAAGTTAAACCCGGAGTAAAAGTGCACCGATAAAGTATTAATCAGAGTCTTGCACTTTACTTGGGCCACAAGTCGCCACTTGTCAAGCCTTTAATGGATGGTAATTAAAGCTTTCCAAGTGTCAAGCTACCAATGGAGAGGATCTTGACTTTGGAATTTAATTACATTATGATTTAAGTTAATTAAGAGAGAGGATTAAGATTAAGTAGGCTAATGACACTTGGCATAACATTAATGATGGTTGGTGGGATATTTTGTACACATTAATGAGCTCATCTCTCCCCTAAATCAGATGGGAATTTCGTGCAAGGCATGAAGAGAGGGAAAAAAAGAGAGTTTTGAGGGAAAACCAAGAGAAAGGCATCAACTTTGGTCATACAATCAAGGTTCAAGGTGAGTTCTTGGCTCTAGATGTGTTCTTGCCTTGGTTTCTTTCTCTTTTATGGTTGAAAATATGTCTTCTCTCCCTTTTGATAGCTGGTCGAAATGGTTGATGAGTGGGGAAGGGAGTTTGGTTGTTAGATCTTGCTAGAACACCTCAAAGTATGGTAGATCCAAGTGGATCTATGTGAAAATTGGAAGAATTACGTGCTGATTTGATGGATTTTTCGAATTAGTTACTGTTCATATCTGGTTCTGAAATTTGGCATGCTTAAAGTACACTCTATGAGCTTTAAATCCATGGGTAGAACACTTTATTTGGATATGTGTACGATTTATGGTGATTTTTCAAAGTTAGGGTTTGAAATATGGAAACAGTGTTAAGCTTTTGGAAGGGTGTCGAGTTCCGTACAATTCTGGTACTGTTCGGCGTAGAATTGGTTCCTGAAACTATTTTTCCTTTAAATTTAACTTAATTAGCTTTCAGTGAGACTTGGAAGCACTCAATTTGGATTTTTCTAGATTTAATTATGAATTTTGAAAGTTGATCAAAAATTCTGGAGATTCTGCGTAAACAGTACCCGCAAACCAAAATTTCCAGATTTGATCTTCTTGAATCTAAGGCCATCTAAAGTGGTCCTAATTGACAAGAAATGGATCATAAGAATGGGAAATGATGAGATTTATGTTAGAAAAGTTAGAAAGAAAATCATAAGACTAAGAGAAAGGGTTGAGGTTCAAGAGAGCTAGCTTTGAACTTTATGTAATCTAGTGGTCCTAATAGATTGTATGATCATTATGACTATGTTTAGGACCTTTGGAACATCCAAGAGAATGTTTGATGATGTTGACCGAAAGCTAACATGGTTGGAAAGTCAAGGGAGTCAAAGGAAAAGTAAGAGGAAGGCTTGAGGTGCAAGGTAGTGAACTTACCTATTGTCATTGCTTGATGTGGTATGCTTGTGTGTTGCCGTGTACATGTTATTGAATGTTATTGTGACATGTTTTAACCGCTGTAATTGCTATTCATGATGAGTAGATTATGTCTCCATGGCCATGCATCAAGAAGTTAGCTTTGAGCATGCTAGTATGTCACTAATTAACAAGAGAATAAACAAGTTGCGTGTAGTGCATGAGTATCCATTTAACATGATTAATATGGTATTGTTTGCTACTGAGATTCCCCCGAATCTCACCCCCTCCCTAACCAACCATTTAGGTCAATCAATGGTGGGCACTAATGGCATGAGAAGCAAGGAGAAGAAGTGGAGGGTTATTGATGCTAATTAATGATTGAAATTATTATTCAATGTATAATTCTCCTATGTTATGACTTATGTTATGAATGCCATCAATTCAATGTATGTGCTTAGGATGTTTATGGCATGAATGAAAGTATATGAGCATGAATGGGAAAAAGTAAGCCCATGTTAGGTATGCCAAAAAAATAAAAAGAATTAAAGTAAAGAGATATTAAGGGATAAAACGTAGGTCCTGAAGCAGTTAATTTCAAGCTTCAGTTCGACCTATCATATGAATGAGTTAAGCTACGGAATTTGGTACACTTATAATGCATATCCCAAGCTTTAAAATGAGTGGTAAATCACATCATTTGGATGTGTATACAATGAGATATGAATTTTTGAAGTTAAGGCGCAGAATCTGGAAAGTCCAGATTTTACCAAATGAATAGAAATTTTAATCCAATAAACTGTACGTTTTCAGTGAGGATGAGTTCAGTTGAATATTTTTCCCTTAAAGAGCATTGAAAGATATTTCTGTAGAATTTTGGAACACCTCCATATGATTTTTCTAGAATTAGTTATGATTTTTCAAAGTTGGACCTGTAATCTGAAAACTGGACAGTGAACAGTAATTTCTTGAAAATTAACGTCCAAATTGAAATTTTTAAGCTTAAGACCATCCAAAGTGGTCTGGAATGGTTCTAAATGAATGCTAAGGTATTATATAAGTAAGGTGTGACAAAAACTTATTAGCACCAGGGTATACTAGAAATTATCATACCAGAAATTAAGGTGGAGGTGCATTTCTAGAAGAAGCTTGGGCATCAATACAATTTCACATGGCCTCTCACTGCATTGGATCCGAGTCTTTCTTCTTTTCTCAGATTTAGAAAGCTGATTCATAGCAGTTTAATGTTGGTTCTGTTTGTCAACAAAAGTTGATCTTGTTGTTAAGTATTTAGCTCATTATCCATTAGGTCATATATTTAAATCTCGCTATCAATGTAAGGGTTTTGTTGGTCAGACAATTTATAAATATCTCTATTACTATATGAAAAGGGTTGGTTTTTTGTCTTATTGGTTTTTGACTTAATTCTCTTTTTATTAAATACTCTTCTGGTTCTATTCGAGAAGATTTTTTTTGTCCTATTTATAAGTTGTAAATTAGATTTTTTACATTGATACAATTTTATCATTTACTTATTATTGTGTGACTGTTATTTTCTTGAATATATATATACACACACATTAAATATTAGGACAAAGTTAATAAGATTTAGATTATATTTGGATTGAGGGAAAAGTTGGAGAATAGGGGGAAGGAATAGTCTAGCAAGGATAATAAAGAAGTTTAGTATTTTAGGGATTTTTTTTCTCCTAATATTGTTTCATCCTTAATTTTGTTCCCATTGAAAGTAAGGTTAAGATTTTCTTTATTTTGGTGAAATAGGCTGAAAATTACTTTATAAATAAAACAAGAGAAGTAAGTTAAGTTGTGGTTCGATTTGAATAATAAGCCATCTTTTTCACTGTGACATCGTGGTGGTGTTATTTTGGTGTTTCACATGTGGACAATATTTAGATGATTGGATGAGGATTTTTTATTTTTTTTAATTCAATAAATAAAATAATATTTTCCAGGCCATAAAACTAATTATTATTGTTATCTTTTTTCTTAAAAAAATAAATTGATTGTTATAGTTCTGTGTGATCCAAATTTAAATATTTACTAAATTTTTAATATAATTAAATATCATGATTAAAAAAACCGACAAAACTTTATTTAAATATTCAAATTTGACAGAAAATGAAGTTTGATTAAATTATTAAATCTAAAATATTATTGTGAAATACATAAGCCATTCAAAAAAAATTTTGATGTTCAGTCAAAAAAAAAATTCATCCAAATTAATTAATAAAATTATTTTGTGGGTTTACAAAACTGTTGTTGGCCACCATATTAAATTTCAAAGTAAATGCGCACATTTTTTTAAAAAAAAGAATAATAAGAGAATTAATCATTTATGGGTATTAGTCATTTGTAGACATAAAAGTTTGACATATAAATATAATTAAGAAAATATTTAATTCTTTATTTGAGATTTTTTCTTTGTAATTCTGCCAATAACACTGTTATATTTAATCACGCATTACACCCAAGTATAAATATTTTAATGAAAGTTCAAATAATGCAACATTGATAAGATAATTCATCTCAAATTCAAGTGCTTTGATGCATGCACTTACGGCTATCAATATCTCAATATACTAACTTTAGTAATTAATATAATAGCTAGATGAATAATTAATTTTGGATATTAAAAAATTAGTAAAGTTATAGTAATTTGTAACAAATGTGAAATAATCTTTATAGAGATAATTAACTTCACAAGGCATGTTATATAATGCCATGTGAAGTTAATTGAGATGAGAAAAAGGTGCTAGAATATATTCTAAGGTTATTGGGTGAAACATCCTTTCTTAAACCCTTTTAATATGCATCTAGGAGCATTACGATTCCAATAGATTATAAAATAAACCCATAAATTGAAGTTTGGGAGAATTATAATTAAGTCCCATGGAAGGAAAAAAAATTACAAAACAAGTCCCAAAGATTGTCATTCTCCACTGTAGAACTTGTCATTACAGACGGCTTAGGTTGTTATTGGGACTTTCTAGTAATTATTTCTCTTCTGTGGGATTTGATTGTAATTCTTTCTTGAAGTTTTGAAATTTGATTCTTGAGTTACTATTCACTAGTAAATTCCAGATTTTTTTGTCAAACTCTAAAAATTTATAACTAACTATAGAAAAATCGTAGTAAGGTGATCTAAGTCTTATTTGAAGCTCCTTCAATTCTCTATGGGAAAAAAATATAAATCTGGCCTTTAACCTTCTCAATTTATACAATTAATTTGTGAAAGTTTACTATTCATTTACTAAAAACTGTATTTTTCAGTTTCTCTGCCCTAATTTTGAGCAATTATAACTCTTAGCACACATATTCATTTTAAGTAATCTACCAGTTGTTGTAAAGCTCAGAATGTGTACTTTAAGCATGCCAAATTTTATGGGCAAATTCCATCTTTTACCTCACTTATACTCTGTCACAAATTCATGACTCATTTAGGAATAAATCATCTCTCCTTACTTGCATTAATAATTAATAATTATACATTTCTTGGCATGCAATGATTCCAACATACCCTTGATCATTTCCATGCATCATTAAGTCCATTCACACATGCCAATATCATTATTCATCATTACATTACATTATAGGCATGTTCATGCATACATTAACATCTACAAGAAATATTACATTACAATACATAAACACATTTCTCCCGTCTCTTCTCTTTTTTCTGTGATCTTCATGAATCCATTCCTCTTCCATAGGCATAATACCTATCATGGTTGGTTAAGGGAGGATGAGGTTCAGGAGAATCTTAGTAGCAAACATTACCATGATGTATGTAAGATAGATGCAAGTATATGACATGCTCAGTTAAACATATTTTCACATTTATAAAATGTCATGCAAATATGCTCAACATTTCAAATACACATGACCATGGATTAAACAAGAAGTAGGGTAACATTTAACCATTCATCCTTTCATTAATATCGAACAACATCAATATACAAGTATACACATCAAGTATACGAATAGGTAAGTTCACTACCTTGTGTCTTTAAATTGTCTCTTTGCACTACTACATAAAAGACATTTAATGGCGGTTAAAATGAGCTTTTCATGATGGTTTTGAGAGCATTGTTTATGCCATTGACCTAAAATATAGAGGATTTCATGGCGGTTTAACAACCACCGTGGTATATGACCACAGTGAAAAGTTTTTTTTTTTTTTAGCTTACCTTTCATCCTATTATCAGGATAGAACTAGGGAACAAAGCCACAAAGGAAGGGGGTTTGAGAATCAATTAACCAATAACCTATTAGTAATGGAAAGCATTCTGACAGAGCAAACGTAGATTCTTTCCTTGCCGTATAGCACCACTTAACTTCACTTGCAACCACTATATCGAAACCACTAATAAGACTTAATAAAGATAAAATCAAAGATTTAGATCTGATAAAATTCATGAATTTTAGGCTATTAAACTCTAATCTACAAAATGAGGGAGAGCGCAATCGGGTCTATTCAAGCTTTCAGGTATCAAAGTATGTTTAAGGAAGGAGAAGAACAAAAATCAGATCTATTTAAACTCAAAACAAACATCATATTTTTAATCAAAGAAAATAACCAAACTATGAAAACTATGAAACCCATAGAAAGCATGGAAGAGAAAGGGCAAAAAACTCACAAATAAGAATGAAGAGGATGACGCAACGACGACAACGATAGTAATAGCAATAGCAATAGTGATGGAAGAACATGGCAGAAATAATAGAAGCAAAGGATAAATGCCGGCAAATGTAAGAAGAGGGAGAAAATCGAGTGGGGACGCTAACGGGGGACCATGAACTCTAACTGTGAAAAATGAAAACTATTGCGCGATGGGTAGAGTCTTGAAATTCTGTTAGATTTTTTAAGGCGGTTTTTTTAAAAAACCAAAAAAACTACTGTAAAAAAGATTTTCAGTGTTTTTTTTAAAAACCGCCGTCAAAAGAACTTTTCATATTGGTTTTCTTGATAACCGCCTTGAAAAGTAAAATTTTCTTTCCTATAATTATAAAAATGCCACTATCATTTTTTTACAGCGTTTTTTCTGATGACCACCGTAAATTAGCATTATGAAAGCTCTTTTTTGTAATAGTGTTGCTTCCTCTTGCTTTCTTTGCTTCTAACCATCAAGATTGTTTGATCAACCTTCCAATTTCTCCCTAGCGAGATACACTACTCTTTGTTTTCCCAGTTAACTATATAAATTAAAGTCACACTTCTTCAAAAAGTTGAGCCACTACTATTGAATTATGCGAAGCATCAAATCCTAACCCAAGAAACACTTGTGTAACAAGAACAGGCATGAGTAGTTAGTAATGTTCAACTAGGTAAAGAGAGTTATATGATACTCTTCTTCAATCTTCTTTTTTACATAATTGATTAACTAGGTAAAGTCAAAGTCACTCTTCGTCAATTGACTTGAGCTTGTATTATATTCGGATACTCTTCATTATTCACAAACACACACACACAACTTTAATTTTTGTTCTGTTCTACGACTCACCCTTGTAAAGAGAGTAGATAGTCGTCACCCTTGTTCTCTACATCATCGGAGAGAGGAATTTAGCACGCTAGGCTAGGGTTTTTCAAAGAATACATATAGATTTGATTTGTGTTTGATTAGAGGCAAGCTCTGTCATATATAATGTCTAATCAAAAGAATTATGCGCCAGGAATCCATAGGAAAAACTCTTACCTTATGTTTGGTATGAGAGGATTTGAAAGGAGGAGAGAGGAGAAAAAATTTTAATGAGCTTAATTTAAAAAATTGGATAAATTGAGTTATACAATCAACTATCAACCAACTATATTCTTGAAAACTTGTCCAGTTGTTTAAAAACTAGTCAGGTGTGACACTATGACATCTGAATAGATTCAATTAATCAGATTTGAATAATATTTTGATTGAGATTTGGGTATATTAAATTAAATGAGGAGTATCATTGCTAAATGAAATTTCAGTTGAAGGCTCAAATAAAGAAATTAATAATTTATTTTGAATTTGAATAATATCTTAATTAGGATTTAAATATATTTAATTAAATGAAAATATCATAATTAAATAGTACATCAATTGAGGGCTTAAATGAAGAAATAATTAATTAATTTTAAATTTTCATATGTTCCTCCTAATTTCTGAATCTCTAATTCAAATCCCATTTGAATGAATAAAAAAAAAATCACACTTCTATAAGAAGTGAATCTTGAGATACCTGAGATAATATAATTTATTGGAATTTAAAATTTAACCAAATTTAATCAAATTTCTAGTTTTGATAAAGAAAAGATGTAAGTAATCTGTAATATTTTGCGAGGCGTCGGTTATCTTACATTTCTTTCATTGTAACTAGTCAACCGAAGGCCTTGGCACATTAATATATTTTCTAATGTTTACAATACCTTTTGTCTCTTTGCTTATGTATTCTTGTCTTCTCCTCATCCCTTATCTTCATCAGAAGCTTGCAGAGATGGCACCATGTTGGCTTGAGGCAGTACATGTCCCATTAATGCAGGCAAGGTACGTACGTAGATGATAAGCTCCTGGTCTTTAATTGTGTTAATTAATTAGTCTGTTTCAGATCAATTGTACTGGTAATAAGAGGGGGGGGGGAAGGAAGACGGCCCTGCAAATATATAAATAAATACACACATATACTTCTTGTAAAGATGATTGGGATAAAATACAATAGGAAATAAGCCCAAATCAAATTTGGTGTGAGCATAGTGCTTAAGTGACTCTCGTCCCTTAAGCAACTAGTTAGAGGTTTGAATCTGAAATCTTATATAAATAGAACAAACATAGTTAGAAGGAAAAGGATATTCCTGTTGGTTCTACAAAAAAACATTTATGAAATTTGCATTATATCCCTCTTGTGTAAAATATGAGTATTAATTAAACAACTAAATCACACAATTTAAAAAAGTTAAAATTAGTTAAAGACAATAAATATGTAAAATATGTAATTTATTTTCCTAAAATACCTTTATCTATGGAGAGGGCAAGTGGGAAAGAGAAAGAGTGAAAAAAGATATGAGAGAGAATAAGCAAATAAAAGAGATGAAAAAGATATATATATATATTAATTAATTAAGGGTAAAAATGAAAAAAAAATGCATCAAATGATGATACAAATCCAAATTGTATCTTATGAAAAAACAAACCACACTCTTTTAAAGATTTGATCCTTATCTTTTGAACCAAAGTAAATTCTCATCATTCCCAGTTTTGAAATGACGCAACTCATTTCTTAAACTTGATGTAATAATATAGGGAAAAACATGTATCTGATTTGAACTTAAATCCCAACAATGTCTCTAAGAAGAAGGCCAATTTATGTGGTTGCTTGAATTTCATCTTTGAGAAATCATATATGAACTCACCAGCTCTCTGACAAGTCTAAACAAAACAATTATATATATAGGGTCGTATATATTAGTTTAAGCAAGATGCAAACTAATGGACTATGGAAATATATTTGTTTGACAAAAAAGACAAGTATTATTTGAAGCTCTTTTTCCTTTTAAAACCCTACCTGACTTTGAAGTTGTTTCCTGCTTCACTATGGATGAACATCGCTTTAAAAGATTAGATCTAACCATCAATTTGGTCGAAATCCAAATTAAAACATAAAGGAAAAAAATTAATAATAATATTCAAAAGTCTTTATGTACCAATTAATGAGTCAGCTAATGATTAATGATGATGTTTAATAGAATAGCAAATATTGGATACTTGTTGTGGTCCTTATTATAAACACCTACTAAAAACTTTGCATGCATTAATAAAGTTGAAATTAGTAATTTCTCTAAAATATTAAAATTTTCTTCAATAGAAGTCAATATAGTCAGAAGAGTTTGGTTAGTTAGGAAGTTATATAATTAGTTAGTAGTATGTCTACTGATTTTCAAGCAATAACTATATAACGCCAATGCCAAACTCCTAGAACAACTCTAAAAATTAATAAGTTGGTTGACCATATTTGCCTAAAACACATAACACACAATATATTGAAAAAATAAATTTTATTTTTTGTCACTATGACAGATATATAATTGCGGTTTTAACTTTGTTCTCCGCAGAATTTTCTTAAAATAATCTAGTGGTCATCATTCTAAAAGTGTTTTTTAGTATTATGACCCAAAGTTTTTTTTCCTCCGAAAAATAACAAAATATACTGAACCTGAGTTCTTATGAAATATACGTTGAAATGACGGATGAAGAGATAAATTATTAGAAAATAAATTAATTAATCTTTAGAAAAATAGAATTACATACAGAGGATTAAAATAATGTTTTATTTTTCCAATCAAAATGCATGCAAGCTGGCCTAAACCCAAAATTAAGGGCAAAAGTAAGAACAAAAGCAGAAAGAACTGGCTTTGATTTAGGCTATTGTTTGTGTGTGTGTGTGTGAGAGAGAGAGAGAGAGAGAGAGAATATTGAATTATTGGACCACATCAACATGTGTATACTATAAACGTTGCTTATTTATGTTTCAGAATTCAGATTCATCATTCATGTGACTCACAATAAATGTTCCCAAAAGAAGCAAAATAAACGTATTCTGCCCGTTTCATAATATTTAGGAGTATCTTTTTAGGGGGAAAAAATTGTTTCATATTATAGTATAGGTCCTTTATATATATTCTCAATTACAAAGCAACATCTAATATTATTTTTTTTATTTCACCCTTAAAGTAAAATTAAATATCCTTCGAGGCTTGATAAATTATACAGTTAGAAATATATTTGAGAGGTAAATTATGTAAAGTATATCATATTTGTACATATTTATTAATTTGTGTGCAATATGCAAAATGATGATAAGTACTCTTCTGTTGTAAAAAAAAAAAAAAAAAAGATAAGTACTTATCTGGTTCTCATCATTAGTCACTTCCAACATATTTTACCGAAATTAAGAAAAAATTTAAATTTTATTAACTTATTTTAAATTTTAATAAATTTTCGAATTTATTTTTATTTAATAACAAATAAACATTTCAAGAAAATAACAATTTACACAATGACAGATGGAGGGTAAAATCATTAAAAAAAACAAATGAAGATTAAACTGTGTATTCAAGTGAAAAAATTAATGATATAACTTATAAATATAATAAAAGAACAAATCTTATTTCAATGCTTTATGAATAAGAGTGGAAGAGTATAATGAAAGGAAGGGAGTCGATGGAATGGAAACAAGTCAGTATTTATTGCCCTCAAAAACATTAAATAATATTAATAAATAAGAAATTACTGTATTATTTTTTCCAAGACAGAAACACTTCCAAATTCACCTAACACGTGCACATGTACAGACAAATCGGTTTGCAGCCCTGGAATCTTCAATATAACAACTGCCCTCTAACTTTGTCTTACACACACACACACACATTTTCAAATTTCCATCGTTAATTATATATTCCAATCTCTCTCTATACATCTATAAAAATCTCAATCTCTTGATTAATTTGTTAAAGTCATCCAAAGGTAACAAATTAAATTAAATTAAAATTGACCTTTCCAACGTATAAATGTGAGTAAGATTGTTATTGATTGGCCAAAAAAAAAAGTAAATTTGTTATTATATTGCCCACATGGATATCTAATATATAAAAAATATTAAGGAAGGAGAAGAATAAAATATGAAAGTGTGAAAGATTAATATATACCTGAAATAATTAATGGATTCAGGGCTTGAGAACAATCCCAGAGAACTCAGAAAGTTGAGAAATGGATCTGTCGGTATTTGAGTGATTGAAGCTGCAAGATGACCTGATAGAACCTCATCGATCTCAATAATTACCAGCTGGTTTGATTTGTTCTTTTGAGGTTTTATAAGGATTTAATTCATTCTAATTAATTCTGTGAAATTAGCTTGCCTCTCAATGGGGATCACTTCAAAGGGCCAAAAAACAGAAAAGTCATTCGGTTTGTGGTTATGGAGAAAGAAGATGTGGATGTAGTATTTTTCCCGAATTATTTTAATTAAAGATTAGAGATACATCACCAGAACCATTTCTTAGTTTAATTTATTTCGTTAAGTTTCTTTAATTATCTTTTCTTCTTCATAATAACAAATGACTTATTAAAATCCTTCCAAATATTTTGAATTACTGTGTCCTCCTCTTCTTGAAGCTATACCCTTCCCAGTAATCTCAATGACAAATATAATTTCAGTGAATCTAAAATCGATTAATTAACCCTCAAAATTCCCCCTCTCCCCCCTTCTCAAAGAAAAAAGAAAAGAACCAAATCTAGGTTATTAACGAGATCTATACATAACCCTTTTCGTTATACAACAAGAATTGCTCGTTTATTTTCAGAAATCAATGGCCAAATTAATCTCTGGACTGAATCAAGACTAATACAAACTCTAAAATCCACCAGTGGAACGAATCTTCACTATATATATATATATACTGATTGATGTATATAGACAAGAGGTATGTTTTATATATATAAATATAGAAGTAGTGTGGTTGGTTAATTACCAGATCATGCTGGCAGCTTCAAGCTCTCAGACCAACAACTTGAGAATTGAGAGAAGAATATCACCATATTCATCAGCAAGACGAAGAATTCTAAGTTTCGGGGAGATTGAGGAAATGAAATCTAGGGCGAAACACAGACACAGAGGTGAGGGATGATGGGAGAGAAGGAAGAAACATGGAAATTGAACAAAAGGGCCTCTCGTAATTATCTCTGATCTGTTTCCTCTGGGCGATGATGATGGATCCATAAGAAGGCTTTTTATTTTGTGACACTGTGCCATAGAGAGAGAGAGAGAGTTGGTATTTAATGGAGGGTTTTGGTCCTTCCCTTCCCTTACAGCTATCTTGACACTGACTCCTTCTCTCTCTCCCACATTCTCTCTCTCATACATATACCCAAATACAAACACCTACACACAAGCACAGATTGGAATCCGTAGGTTTTAACATTGTTAAATTTATTATCCTTGTTACGTAAGCTGCTTAATTAATTTGGATACGTACGTTAAGGAAATTTGATAAATTATACCATCAAGGGTTGATATAATATTTTCTTCCTCAAATTTTAAATTCATGATTTTAGTTCCTGGAATTTAGAAGTTCTTAAAATGTTAGTTCTATAGCGGTGTCAAAATTATATTAACCTATTATTTAATTATAACAAACATGACTTGATCTTCCTAAAATACTCTTATATAACATTATATAACATTAGATTATATATCGGTTTATAAGTTAAGTAAATTAATTTGAAGAAAAATTATACATGTTAGAAATAAAATGAAGAGAGGCTTTATATCTAGAATCCATTGCCAACTTCTTAAGTACTCCCTCCGTTCCTTATTATAAGAGACATTTGATGTTTATGGTATGTTCCCATATATAAGAGACATTTAAAAGTTATCTCTATTTTTTTGTATTGATTTCCTATTTTATCCCTATTTATTTTGTCTCCAACTCATACTCTCTCTCCCTCCCACTTCTCTTTTTTTCAATAATTTAATTGTTCTCTCTCATACTCTCTCTCCTTATTAATAGGGGCATTGTTGGAAAAAACATTATACTTTTTACACATTAATTGTCCTCAACTAATTTTAACTGTTTTTTTTATCAACGTGATTTGGTTATTTGTCTCTTATAATAAGGAACGGAGGGAGTAGCTTATAAAATCAAGACTGAAGTATAGCATGGACAGTAACAAAATAAAATGGTTTGAACTCTGCAGATGATATACATATACTCATCTAGTCCTTAATATAAAACATAATCAACTAATTTGAGTAAATTGAGGATGTTAGTTAAATTGGTTAATATGATATTTTTTTTCTAAAATATCCTAACCATTTTTCTTAATACCCTTCCTTCCTTTCTTACGTGATTATTATTGAGGGAATATTAATAAGATTAATTCAAAAAAAATTGATAAATATGTAAAATATGTCTTATATATACAACCAACGTCAATTCTCAAATTAGGTCCTATATTAAAAATTACAGGAGTATATATTAATATAAAGTTAATGCAATTTAAAGTTTTTTTTTAGTTCATGTAAAACATTTGAAATGCCTGATAAATAGGAATATATGAGTAAAAGTTATGGGGAAAATGTCGCCTAAATGAGCTCCATAATCTTTATTAGATAATTTTGAAGAAACGAGAGTGTCAAAGAAAGTAATAAATGATAGGATAACTATAGTTAATGAAATGACTTTGACAAAGAATGTTAAAAAGATTTTAAAAAAATTCCCTCCAGTTTTAAATAACGTGAGACCTAGTTAAGAGGGTTTGCTTTAGTCCTAGCTTAATATAAAATTTTAATCCACTATATCTCCCAAACTTGTATTTTTTTTCCCCAACAATTCTTATTTTTTTTCCTCATATAAAAGGGTTTTACATCAATAAAAGGAGTTTGTAATACAAATGATTAAGAATGATATTTTAGAAAAACATATAATCATTTTTTTTTTACATATTTAGCTTAAATAAATTTCTTAATTTTTATAAATAATTATTTAACTCTTTTTTTTTTTGCAACTATTTAACTCTTATATAGGATTAGATGAAGTATAAATTTTTAAGAATATATTAACATAATAATGAAAGTTTACTGCAGAATATACTATTAAATTTGCAAAATCATTGAAACAATATCTTTAGATTAAAATAATTCTTTACCACATGGCGCTGTTGAATAAGAACCACAATATCTTCCTTTTTGTCACAAAGATAACAGCTGTGTCCATTGACTTGATTATTTGAGCAAAAAAAAAAAAAAAAGACTTGATTATTCGTCTAGTTTAACAACTTCTAAACATAAACAATTCAAACACAATTAAAAATAGAGCGTCAATTATTGTAAAAAAAAAAAAATAGAGCGTCAACACTCAACTATAGAAAAATTAAATGGATTATCAATTAATAGTTATTGAACATGGCAAGTCAAAATGTTTTTTTTTTTCAATAATTACTTTATAGTAGCTAACAATTACTATAGATTATAAACCCTGGGCCCACCAAAATAAAAACACAAAATTTATTGCCTCTCATTTGGTACAACTGTCATATGCATAATGTCTACTAAAAATTTAAAACATAGAGGCAAGACATGGTCCTCATCGACCATAGAAGCGTCACTGTTCACTAAAAAGCTTCACACACACTTTTGGCTTTTTCTCATATTACACCTATTTGATTTAATTTAATCTTACCCCAAACATCTATTAAAGAACATGTCCCCATGTGATTTGAGACTACTCAGCCCTTTATACAGCCAATTAATTTAATTATCTCCTAGTAATCAATATTCAAACATTATTAAGAAAAGAACTGGTTATACTAATTCAAGTTTTGGTGCAAGCATTGTAAGCTCTCATCATTTAAGTAAGTAGTTGAAAATTCAAATCCTAACACTTACGCATGCACATAACAACCTACTATTCTAGTTCTATTTATAAGACATTTCTATTATATTTCATTAGAACAAAAAAACTTGAAATCTCACTAGTCTAAAAATTAGTAACTTTTCAACTTTACCCCTATTTAATATATGTTCTTTACTTTAATTGCTTGTTCTCATGAATAATAAATGAATAGTACAATTGTACATTTATGTGAAATCAAGAGGAGTAAGGAGGAGGGATTTACTTTTTTTCTCTTAGCGTATAGCTTGTGAAAAACTAGTTTCTGCTGTCTTAAAACCTAGTTACAACACATTCAAATCTTAAAAATGGAGAATCACTAATGAAAATTTTTACACTCATGAGTCTAACTTGACTCAAATTGAATTAGTTAGACCTAGTGATATGATTAAAAATAGTGATTGAACAGAGCGTGTGTGCGTGCATATAACAACACCAAATAATGACTATATGTATATAACTAAAAAAGAAGAACAAAGGGAGAAAACAAAGGAAGGAAAGTAGGGCAAGCAGGTTGGTGAGAAATCAGGTGTGTCCTGCAAATTTTGTCTTAAGCTTTGGAGCATTTATTTGACAAACAATGACATATGCAGTCACACATCTAAATGAATGGAAGAAAAAGGACCACACAAATATATATATATATAAAATATGCACCTTTATTATTTATTAGAGGGTTCATCATGTGTGTGTAGGCTACTAGTGGATAAGAATCACATGGCTTTGCTTTTGTAATTCAGCTCAATAATCTCTCTTGAATCTTCCACTGATTAAGGTCCCTTTGTGTAATGTGGTGGTTGCGAATATAACCCTTGTTTAAATGTTGTTCCCTCACCTTTATTACCAAACACATTAATTAATTATATAATACTACCTCCGGTCTTAATTATAAGATTTTGTTTATAGACTATAAATGATGTCTTATAATTAGAACCAAAGGTAGTACCTCATGTCCTTAATTACTATAAGAACTAGATAACTAACTTGGAGAGATTAAGAAAACTGATTAAATTGGTTAATTATAACAAATGTGTGTGTGTGTGTGTTTTTTTTTAAATTATCCTATTTAATCATGTGCATTGATATTATTCTTTGGCAATAACCCTTACAATTAATAGGGATATTTTAGAGAAAACATTATAGATTTGTGTGACAAAGTTGCTTGAGGTCTTATATTTATGACCAAATACAACCTTCTAATCAACTCTTATATTAAGGATTGATGGTAGTATATATAGGGTTAATTGTAGTTTTCAATCACCATTTGTTATGGTTATATGAATTAAATGACTGCATCTATGATAATATATTCATAAAAAAGATAGAAACATAGTTTTTTAAACATATATATGATTGAAAAAAAAATAAAATCTGATTCAGTAGGGCTTCTCTTTTTTTTATTTTCCATGTCCCTGGTCCCAGTTTGAGCCTCTGATTATATATGTACACTCCCTCATGATAAGATTTTTCTGATGCCTATTGCTTTTCCCCTCAATATGGATCATCTCCCGGATTAGGGTAAAGATACATAAAAACCCTAGTTTAGCCACCCCTCCCCCCAACAAATTACCAAACTCATTAGGGTTTCTTGGTTTTGAATCCTCTACTCATTTTCCCCCTTTTCCCTTCTCCTCATTTTCATCCTCACCCTTAAATTATATTTAATATTTTATAAAACCATTTTTCTATTTTTATATACTCTACCGTTGTAAACTGTCTAGATGAAGTTTAAACTATCTATTTTTTATTTAATAATATAATGTAATTCTGTAATATATTAAATTCCAGCTGTTCAATTTTTAATTTAGAGATGGGGATGAGATGAGGAGAAGATCAAAAAGGACAGGAAGGATGAGGAGATGATCCAGATCCAAGGTTCCCCTGTAGCTTGTTTTCATAGTTAATTGGAAAAAAAAAAAACCGCAAACACACACAAATATATAATTGTTTGATTTTATATAATGAGCATCCTTTTTTTGCCTTAACTTTCTACTAGCATTTCTCTGAATTAATGTTGAAAAGTATTCAGTTTATTGCAGATACTTCCCTTTTGTTTTCTGTATGTGGTCCTACTTTGGGCATTATTTGATCAAACGCATTAATTAATTCCTTAATTGATGCGATGTTTCTTATATATCTGTTCTGTTCCTTTTTCCCTGTTTTATTAATCTCAAATTTCGATCCCTTGATCATCTCCCTGATTTGGGTAAAGATACATTTTTTAAAAAGTAAAGTTGTGCTGTTTGGCATCATGATTTTTTTTAATCTAGAGGACTTCAAAAACTTTTTAATGGCTAGATGTTTGTGTAGTGTGTGTATAGATAAGTTTTTGAAAATTTATGATA